TGGAATTCATCGGCGCGTCTCAATTGAACGATTATTTTTAGCGAATAAGTGCTTCGTGTTGATTTAAGGTGGGAGTACGTAGCGGCCCTGTTTGGCTTGCGAAATGACATGTTCAGTAACCTTGAGCACTATTAGCCAGCCACAGCTCTCCACAAAATGACAGTTGTTGGTCGTGTTGGGAAATTCATATAGTTACGTGGTTTCTATGGAAGGTCGAATTTCCGGTATCCAGAATCGCAGCTCGGTATTGGCTGCTTGCTCGGTTTCCATTACAAACTGCAAGATTAGGAAAAGGAGGACAAACAAAGACTCGCTCCACTTTACGAAACTGAGTCAGTGTGTGTTGTGATTTGAGCTTGGTCTATAACTAGAAGAATGTTTCTCTCTGACGAATTTTGGCAAGGTGTATTTGGTGCAATTATCGGTGGAATAATTATAGTACTGTTGTTGAAGTTGTTGGACAAGCTGGTAAACACCGCAAACAAATCCAAAAAGCTGCCTACAGAACATGATGAGCGGTTTTGATAGCTACAGGAAGTTGGTGAGTTTGAAATTAATTTGAAAAACAAATCGAAGTGTGAATTGTTGAATAAGTTTTGTCTCTGCTGTGAGTCTTTCTCGAATTTGACATGAACCCGCGCGGCACCGTAAGATTTTACTTTCTCCGTTAATTTTTATTCTTTTTTACGAGCTAGCTTTGCTTTCCTCTTTGTTCCAATTTAACGTGTGGCTCACTGTATTAACAATGCCTATTTCTTGATGTGTGTTAAAGATGTAATGTTTCGGGATCCTGCGCTCAGAGCCCGGGATTAGTCCCGCGAACAATTTCATTTGACCAGTGACAGCCGGAAATACGTCTCCATTCGCAGGCTACATAAACCGTGGTACACTCTTCAGTCTGGTTTGGTTAGGCTCTGACTGTACCGTAAAATTTCTGACGCGTCATTACAGCCTGATAATTTTTGGACCACTCTGTAATAGTCTCAGTCAAAATCAAACAATTTATGACGCCGAAATTTACGTCTGCGTTCGCAGGCCACATGTCAGCCAGTAACCCCTCACACTAAATTTTGCTGAAATCTCGTTCGCAAAGAATAAGTTTCATATATATATTTGTGTGGCAAACAGCATATATTTAGTTTGCGTTTGTAAATAAATCCGAAATTGCCTTAGGTGATATTTCGTGCTCAGAATAATCCGCAGTAGGAATATGTTCTCGTACGTATCAAGAAAAGCGCACTACAAAGTGATTAGTTCAGTGATAATTTTGACCTTATATGGTGAATTTTTGACAATGGCGGCAACAGCTTCAAAATGCCCTGGGGAGCTTATGA